GCTAATTACGTCGTATGATTACTAAGCGTGATCGAGAAATTCTATACGAACATTTGAACGTACGCGATAACTTACTCGTGATAAAAAGAACTTGACTCAAAAATTTAATTACTTAAATTGTATCTTTTAAAATTACTTACAAAATTTTGACCCACTTTTTATCCTACCTTCCTGCAAGGCACCTGTCAGACAGCTTTTTATCCCCCTATCTTTGAAAGACGTAAAATTAGTCGGACCTTCCCCCTTCTTCCCCCTTCTCCCCGAATTTTTCAGAAATTAATAGAGGGAACCTAAAATATAGCTAGATGTTATATCTTACAGCGGTACGCTTGCAAGTGAGATAGATGGTCCTAACTCCCTCCCCTCCTTCCTCCTCTAGGTTGCTTACAGACTTTGTGAATTTAGCGGGGTCCACAAATTTGGTCTCCATTAATGCGTTTGAAACTTTTAAAGAAAAAGAATAATTGAACGCACAGAATGAGTGGCTTCCAGATGAAGTTCTCGACAAATTTCAAAACCTAAATTTTACTTGATAAATAGAAAATAGAGCAGCCATTAAATCTTACTCTCCACCTTCGGCTGTAAAGAATCCAAGAGAAAAATGTGTTTTCTAAACGTAAATTATGAATTTAATACCTTGCGTAAAACACTTTAAGCCGCTTTCAATACATTTCATGGCTTCAAAAACGAGTCGCATCATACTGGTACGTCACTAAGCTCCGTAAGTCCAAAGTTTAATAGGATTCCCATGAAGCTGGCAGCTAATTTCCCATCCTGTCAAACAATATCGACGGTTGAATAACAATTGTTCAACGGTTATCGTGATATATCGTGAAAAGAAACTGGGGTTCGATTTGGGACGTCTTGACTGGAATATTTACAGTCTTTAAAAATGATGAAATATTAGTAGACTATACAATCGGTTTTCAACAATTATTTCAGTTATGGTAACAGACCAGCAGACAGATTAGGAATTTTAGCATTCTGAGACATTTCTCTTCTTAAAAATACACGTAGAACACGATTCAAACAACCGAAAGAACTGATATTATACTGATAACTCCTAACCAGGATAATACATTTTATTTGATGAAAAATTGGAATTTTTCGGTTAAAAAAAGAGTCTACTTGAATCAAATCGCGCACTGCAACAGTTTGAACAGTGTTTCATTTTAAAAATGAGGTATGGCAGGAAGTCTAGAGTAGAAAACCGAGGCACTGGTTTCGCGATCGATATGAATAAAACGTATAAGTATTTGGTATTTTTTCATCGTCATTGGTTTCTCCTTCTTTTTTCCAAGAAAATTACTCAGTGTACGTTGTTAAAACTGTTTTTCTTATGAAAGCGTTAATTGCATTTTGCCAGTAAAAGTTCGAAAACACATACCTCCTTTGATGTGTTGTGAAAAATACGCGTCTAGGCACTCTGCTCAGCAAATCCTGGATTTAGTGTTTCAGAAATAAGAATCGATGAACTGAAATTTGTGTGTTTTGCACGGTCAACTAAACGGACACCTCACGTGTCTATTTCCATTATTATGGGTTAAAATTGCTACGTGGTTACGAAAAGTAAATGTATCATGTCGCACATAGTGTGCCAGTATCTATTTCGTCAGTGTCTGATGTAATGAGCTTTTGACATGTGCCTAACTGTAATATACCTATCATTGCAAATGCGTTTCAACTGATCAACTGACCCGACGCCACTTTGTACAGAAAAGAGTGCAAAATCGTTTTGCTCTTGGGTATGCCTGAGAATGGGACAAAAATATCGGTAGGTACTTCTTTAACGTGGTGATGATTGATTTTTTTAGTTTTACCTAGAGTAGATCTCAAATCTTCTGATTGACTTCTTCACAAATTTTCCCTCTTTAGATCTATTTATTTATTTTTTTGATTATTTTGCGTGATTGACTTTTAAAAGTAGTGACTTTCAAAAGCTTGAAATTAAGGTAGTTTAAATCTCTCATTTTTTTTGTAGTACAGGATATTACTACCATTGGGGTTTGGTTTATTGCTTGTATATATCATCATCAAGTAGAGAGAAAATCCAATAATGTGTACTAAACTTACTTAAACGTTAACATTTATTCTGAAAAATAAACATGTATACGTTATTGCATATTATCTAATACAGATGCGTGCGCAAACATCTGTATGAGGCGTGTGCAATGTGCATTATTTCCAAAACATGTATTATAATACACACGATCTGGGGAGATCGCTGACAACGCAAGTACATGATCTTGTATAATAATATCCGAGAGAATAAATCACGCTAATTACTCGGTTATGGCTGCCAAATCATATTTTGTAAATTAACGAATTTTTTTTTTTCTTTTTTCGTTTAATCGCTCAGTCGCTCTTTAGACGTATCAGTATTTGGTACACATTGACAGTGTCATGGTTTGTTTAGGAGCGCATGCTAGAAAGTTGCACTGTATCTTTGATAAAAGAAAAGAAAAAAGGAATAAACCATGGGAGTTTTTTATGAATTTATTATCTTCTACTTTATGGTCCTGCTTTTTTAATCCCTCTAATTTAATTTAAGTACTTTTCTATACGCACACTGCTTATCTTCCGTAGAGAAGACTGACCATGCTTTTTGCCGCACTCCTCAATCACTTAGAGTTTGAACCCAAAAACCTTCTTCCATTTACACATGTTGATAATTTAAAATCTTGATGCTTTTGGCTGATAAGGAATTGTGTAGCCAACATTCGTTTCTCTGGTTTTGTAAAGGATATTAATATTGCATCAGTCTCTTCTGAAGAAACTTTAAAGATCATGTAAATTCTCAATTATTTTCCTTTATATCATATATTTTAAAAAAATGAATTAAATAGTCTGGTTACTCGAACCTCTGTATTGGACTTCGTACGTCTATATATGGATGGGAGAGACTTGTGCAATTACTGCGGGAAAATTCAGTTTTTTTTCGCATCTCTACAGGGTGATCCAAAAGTCCCTTCTACCCCCTCTAACTTTTTACCTAATTGAGGTAAAGATTTGAAACTTGGGGGATATTCCTAGGTCAAAGGGAGCTACTTTTTGGCCCCCCTAAAATTTTCAGGGGGGGCCCCCTTGGGGGGGGCAACGGCCCCCAACTTTTAATTTTCAAATGGGAAGACCCCCTTTGTGATAGCTCGTTCGAAAGAGCATAAAAAAAGAAAACTTTTCGCGCAAACCCGAAGTCAATATCTCAAACCGTTTCAAAATGGCGGCTGGTTAAAGTTCAAAATGGCCGAAAATTCATACCGGTTGTTTGTTGATGGATTTGCGCGAAAATCGGCATGTAGGAGTATTTTGACACGAGAAAAACGAATTTGACGTTAGATTTTCAAAAAAACCAAAATTTCCAAAATGGCCGCCGGTTAAAGTTCAAAATGACCAAAAATTGATTTTTTTATAAATCTAAGTTCAAATTTGTTTATCTTATGCCATACTCTCAAATTCCAAGTTTTAGGCAAATCCATCAGGAAAAAACCAAGGTGAAAATGTTCGGCCATTTTAAACTTTAACCGGCGGCCATTTTGGAAATTTTGGTTTTTTTGAAAATCTAACGTCAAATTCGTTTTTCTCGCGTCAAAATACCTCTACATACCGATTTACGCGCAAATCCATCAACAAATAACCGGTGTGAATTCTCGGCCATTTTGAACTGTAACCGGCCGCCATTTTGAAACGGTTTGAGATATTGACTTCGGGTTTGCGCGAAAAGTTTTCTTTTTTATGCTCTTTCGAACGAGCTATCACAAAGGGGGTCTTCCCATTTGAAAATTAAAAGTTTGGGGCCGTTGCCCCCCCCCCGAGGGGGGCCCCCTGAAAATTTTAGGGGGGCCAAAAAGTAGCTCCCTTTGACCTAGGAATATCCCCCAAGTTTCAAATCTTTACCTCAATTAGGTAAAAAGTTAGAGGGGGTGGAAGGGACTTTTGGATCACCCTGTATAGTACTGAGTACTTTTTTTGATGTGGAGTGGATTTCATCCAACGTTGAAGGATTTAACAGCGTTTTGAATTGCTTCTTTGTATGCTGAAGTCTATTTTTGCACTTTCACAAATTAGTGCACACCTGAATAGTTGGTAGTTAAAATGCTTCATAACTATTACTTTTTCAACCGCTGCAACCTTTTAGTTTTAGTATAAATTAGTTTTATTACATTTTAAGGTATTCTTATTTTCTTGCACTGTTTAATCTTGCAAATTGTAAATTGCCGTATAGTTTTTCATTCGACTTTTGATGACGTAAACAGATGATTGACTTTCATTTATAGTTTCTATTTTTTTTAAGTAATTTTTATGATCTGTAATCAAGGTGGCTGAATTTGTCAACGACCCTCAAGTTGAATAGGTCTTTTATCAGAAAAACACGGTGCCCAAAATATCTTGAGCACTTGTAAATTAAGTTTTTTTATTAACATTTTATTTTATTGCGGTGCAATAAAATAAAATCCTGCATATCCTGAAAATGCACTTTAGTTTATTTTCAGGAATCTAAAGTCTCGCTTTATTCTGGTTTTTTTCACCCTTTTAATGTGAAAAACACATCAAACTCATCTCACCGAAGTTTCATAAAAGTAGCATAACTCATTATATTATCCGCTGAGACATTTTTAGGAATTCTGATTTTTCTCGGCAAATGTAAATTCAATTGAACTGTAGCTCAATTTTTTGCGAATGAAGTATTACATAGATTGTAACTCAAAGCTGCTTCTGTATCAGAGTGATATATGTGTGATATCACTCACTTAAAGTTAGTCTTTTTCGAAGTTTTTTTTTTTTTTTTTTTTTTTTTTTTTTTTTTTTAATTACATAGAAAATTATGAGCCGAAGTATACTCAAATATTTTCATTTGAATCCCTTACAGTTACAATCAGGATTTCTTTAATTTGGTAACCCGATAATGTCTCTAATATCAAATTTACAAAACAGCCACCTTGATATCCTCCTTACTTATTTGACTGCCTCTAACTTGAAATGTTGTTTTTTCTGACCTCCAGACTATGCTCGCCACCAAACGCAATGCCGGACTTACTTCTGCTGTGCCGCGTGCGACACTTAATGACGAGGAATTGGTAAGCTCCACTTTATCAACTTAATTTTTTTTATGCGTGTTCCAATTTTTATCATTTATTTTGATTTACTCTTCCCGCCCGATCAGTTAATTATTTCTGTATGAAATAAGTGCCGGAAATAGACAATTTAAATTAATATATCAGTTCAAAAGTGAAGAGGTGAACCAGCAAACATTTCATCGTGCATCATCCATGCATTAGAATGGTATCAATTGGACGAATGTAAAATTTGCGTAGTCGTCCTTCTCCACAGTTTTCAATTGACCCAAAAATTACACTGGTAAAGAAAACCTCTTGGACCAATGCCGCGGTGCATTGACTTAAGAGTGCAGTTTCTTGTCGCCGGATTTAAGAGTCTTGAACTCTTGTTTCAAGCGGATTTTGCATTGATTCAATTTAAAATCCTTTTGAAACAAGAGTCCAGACTCTTAAATCCGGCGACAAGAAACTGCACTCTTGAACCAAGAGGTTTTTTTTTTTTTACCCGTGTAATTTTAGTCACGTTCTTATACTATGAAAGCGATTGCACCACGGCTGACGTCACATTAGTATATCGCCCCCCTGTTGAAAAAAAGTGGTTCCGTTTCCAAATAAGTCGCGAATTGTAAGACGACATTCAGTAAGCATTTTGTTTGACAACAGACTACATTTTACAATTAGGAACTACAAACTGTGGCTCACGTCAGAAACAACTTATGTACCATTACTTTCCCATGCGGGTAAGTCCCATCCCAGAAATTTTACGGATGAGCCAGAAATTATAGTTCTGAATCGCAAAATGCTGTCAATTTATGGACAAAACGGCTCATTTCAAGATGTGGTTACACTCTCCCACTAACAAATGGACAGATTAAACCGAAATGAGCCTAACTATACATCAGACGTCGCCTAATTTTCTCTGAGGTTTAATTTTTAAACAGAAAACTGGACGTATTTATGCTAAAAGGAACTACGTGCAAAGGGTTTGCGTGTAACGTAGTTCCTTTGAACATACATACGTTTAACTAAGCAACACTGAAGCTTGAAACTTAGGGAGTAATGAGTTGAGTATATCCTTCAATCCAGGGTAAGTTCACGGAAAGTTTAAAGTCGTCAAGTAGTGTTGTTCTTCGTTAAAAAATAAAACATAATAGAAAATTAGGCAACATTGAATATAGTTAGACTGATAGCCAGTTGAATCCGTCCAAATAGTCCAACCAATGACAGGGAAGATCCCTAGCTCAAAGCCAAGTCTACTGGCCAATTAAAATTGGCTCCGGAATCTGACGTGCAAATAGTAACACTCCAACAAAAAAGACCATAATCGCCTGTCAGTTTACATATGAGGCTTTTGAAGAATAAACGGTCACCCGCTTCAACCCAGTTTTCTGTCACTCCATCGTTTGTCCAATCGATAGCAAATGCTTGCTGATTGACCTCTCCTTAATATTACTCCTGTTTTTAATTTAATCTTTAATCATTTTAATTTTTACTTGTTCTAAGAATCGAGCAATCTCCATTTCTTTTAGAACGAAAAACGAATCGGTTTGCTTTTTGGTCTTAAATATGAGCGAACTAACGTAGATAGGGCTGCTCCCCAAATAGAAAAATTCTCTAACAGAAAAAAAATGAATTGAATCAATACCCTCCAATAGGAGTAGGACCGCAAATCTCCGCATCATAATGACAGATCTTGAAACCCCTCCCCTTCCTCTTCTAAAATTATTGTCATTTTAATTATTTTTATGTGTTTTCTATGTTTGTTCTTCGTCCCTTCATACAGCTTCCATTGGTAAGTCTACGTGCGTTTATCAAAGCCCTGACTTAGATTTTCCTCCTCAAAACAACTAGATTCATCGTTAAGGAGGTGCTTTTGATTTGCGTTGGTGTTGCGGCATTAGTTTCATTTTAAAGTTTCAACGACAAGCGTGAAGTTTTTCGGACTTTTTTTTAAACAGGTTAAAAACAGTATAATGAAGGGGAAAATGTTTATACTTTAAGATAATTCATGTTTACAAGCTAGTTAGTAGATTAATTTTCTAGGAATTGTATTCGAGACGTGTAAATTTTAAGATTTAACCTGATGGGCTACACTTGCAATTTATTGACAAGAAACAGTAGCCCTTTTTCAAATGCTAAATAAGATATTCAAAATGATTAGATATCCTTAATTAGATCGTCATAAGGTACTAGTTTTTTTTATTTACTTTTTTTTTATTATTATTATTTTTTAAAGCTGAGATGAGAAAATAAATTGATCCCGCAAACCTCCTTGAACTATTGAAAAAGAGACTAGTCTTGATCTTGCACTAAAAATCGTAATCACAAGATGACACTCGATTGTTCTAAATTTTGACAAGAATGAATTCTCCAATGATTTTCCGATTAGATCAAATAATATGTGAAAAAAGCCTCCACGAAAACAGAGATTCTCCATCCCCACAGCTTCGTCTGCAACATAAAAAATGCAAATTACTATGCAGCAACACCACAGTGAATCATTCCGCTGAACAGCTCCTTCATCGGCCGATCCAGCAAATCGATAACATTGCTTCCTTTCCACTTAAACCTAGGGAAATTTATCGATTGCTGGAGAGTCCATGTGCTCTGACAGGAATCGATTATTCAATACAGGTTTAAATGGAGGAAAGTGTTGCCAAATTGCTGGATCCGCCTTTGGCTCCTCTTTCTCAATAAATCAAGTTGTTGAAACTAAGAGTTCACCCGACTCCTCTTAAGCTGGTCCATTCACAATGAAAACGTGGATTGAGATTTATATACATTCATAAAAGAAGAGAATTTAGAAATTTTACAGGACATACATTTTAAGACATCGGAGGTGTCAAAACCTAGGGAAAGATAATTACATATATTTCGGAACACAACGAGACGAGATAATGAAACGAGTTTTAATGAGAGATAATTAGATATTTCTTTTTGGCATAACTTCCTATCGAATAGACCAACTTAAGATGGACCTCATTAAAACGCAATACGTAGATTGGCTGTGCCAGAACTGCTTGGTTCTTTCAAAGAAACGATTTTAGTTCACACCAGCACCTACAGAGTTAGAGCCCACCGCATAGTTGTAATTAAACCTTATTTTCAGCGTGACCCTTTCCTAAAAGTTGAGGTAGTTTGCTCAATTAAATCGTAGACTCGAGGTTTTCAAGTGACTAGTGGTGTGGCGTGCTTTGCGATATCTCGATTGATCTATTATTTGAACCTATGGAAATGGATCGATAAACAGGGTATTCGCAACGAGCACCCTCATAATCGATTCTTTTTCAAAGCTTCAAATGGGAAAATATCGATAGTCGATCATTCACGCCTCGCCATCGTAATTGACCCCATTGCTTTTGGACTTGGCTTTCATATTGAACAACACTTTAAACACTGAATATATAAATATCCGCTCCACTTAGTAGGGATCGTAATCATAATATTCCCTAAATAATTTTTTATATCACGGCAAAACCATTCATGCAATGATCGGAACTTTCATGAAAGGATCGAATTCAACAGTCAACCCATATTTCTAAATGCGGGAGTTTTTTGGTGTAATATCATCATTTAAACCCATTTTTACGGAGGGATACAAGTTTTCCCCCAAACATTTCATAATCTTGGAAAGTCATAGTAAAATTGTTGAAAGTTTGAGTGATTCTTCCTAATAAAAGAGTTAGTACACTGTAGAGTTTTGGATTCAGAAATTTTACCATATTTATCCGTTTATTTCTTCAATGCATGGATAAAAATCATGAGCTTTTATTATTTTACATCAATGATTGCGACGGAGATCCCACCTTTTAATGTAAATAACTATTGCGTAGAGACACATTGGTAGACAATCACAAGTACAATTTTAGATTCCTAGAGTTCTAGAAACGTTTATGAAGAATAAAAAGTTTAGCTGACGTATGATCACAAAAATCTTTGCCGAAATCCCGAAATCCTTAGAGTTTTTACTTGTCCTGAAGACAGTAAAAAGTATTTAAGTTCACCCCGAATGTCACGTACCAGTATTAGCAAAAATATGATTTCCTAAGCCAGGAAATGGACGTTTTTGGAGAAATCATAGGTTGGAAAAAGTTATGACGTCAATTTGATTAAAGAGACTAACCTGATTAGTCATGCTGACTCGATTTCGTTGGACAAAGCATTGGCTCCCAGACAAGAGAGCGTAATTCCATGTCAATATAACACAATTTTCACTCGTAACTTGTTTTTACACTGAAGAACCGGTATACATTTCTCACTGAATTCACTTTATTTCCCTTGATTAGGCGCAAGGAAAAGTAATATCGTGGACAGAAATTGCAGTCATATTTTTGTTTTAAAACAAATTGAAGTGCTTGAGTTAATTTTCCAATCTTAGAATGGAATAATGTTCCATCGTCTGGAGAGCGACGGATTGCCAAATTCGAATCCAAATTTTCGTTCTTAGTCATTTTTTTTTTTTTCACATGAACCCTGGAAAGCCTAGAGGTATACGGAGAACAGGGCTCTCGTTGAAATCGAGTTATGCCTTTACGTCAGAGAGGTGACGATTCTACGGATGACGAATACAACATTGATTTTCTTTTGTAACTAGGTAATTTTATTGACGTCAATGTGCTTAGTTCGTTTCTGACAAACTAAATCAGTACCCCAGAGCCAAAAGGTACCTAACTCCATTTTAGGCTTTTTGAGATATCAGGAAAACAGGATATCAGTGCATCGATCCCATTGATATCAATGCAAATCGCAATTTTTGGAACTCCGCAACTTATAACCAGCGTAAGAAAGCGCTGTCAAATATTTCTCACACACGGAGCCCTTAAGGGAGATTTTTAAAACGCCAATAACTCAATTTTTCCAAAAATTTGAGTTAGGCACCTTTTGGCTCTAGGCTAGGGCACTGTTAAATAAATAGCCAAGATGCTGATATCTGTGACTTTGGATGAGATTTTTATTTCTTTTCATGTTTTATGCTCTTTGAAGAAGACTTTCCACATTTGCGGATGATATTCATCTTACCCTTTCCCGAATTTGTCATTGCCACGAAATCCTAAATCTAAACAATAATAACAATTTACATTAATATTATACACGTATTCAAATTACACCATAACAGGAATTTCTCTCCTGGTTGAAAATAATGAATTCATTTTTACTCAAACAAACAGACACAGAATGCTGCTTTATTCCTGCATTTATGACCACCAACTAGCGGCTTATACCTAGATAGTTTATTTTTATTTTAGTGCAGGTTTTTCATGTTTACTTTTTTCCCTATACCGCTGAATTAAAAATGTTTAGACTTCATACATATGTGTATTATTGAATTTTGAATTATTTCAGATTCACAAAAATTTCCCCGTGCTGTATGCATGTCTCTAAATCAAAACTGATGTGTGAGGTCATAGAACTTTGATTTCCCCCAATTTGAATGTTCTGCTTCTCAGAGAATTAAAAATTGCTTGTTTTGTTCAAGAATTTTCCTCGATTTTGCTTAAGAGATTTCAATGACCCTTACCATTATTTCCTGATTGCATTGCCCCGCTACTTTTTTTTACCGTAGCGAAATACTCCCGTTGCCAGGAAGAAATTGGATTTTCCCTGAAACTGCGGTTTTTTTTACATTTTTTTTCCTCGAAAATTTTTACTCGCCTCCCATGCCTTGATCCAGTCTTATATCTACTTCTTGCTAGGCCTTAAATGCACCATTTCAGGTAAATTAAAAGAAAGGCTTTTGTTTTACCGCCCCGCTTGTAAAAGTTATGACGTAAATTCACAAAAAATATATTTTAGTTTTCCTCCTGGTTTTTTTCAAAAATTGTATTAAGTAAGTGAGTAAGTAAGGCCGGGCTAACCGGCGAGGCGCCCTCAAGAGGCCAAGGCAACTGGCAACTGCCGTCGTGCATCCCGAAGTTGGACCGTGCTCCTTAACCTCAAATCAGTGGAATCGAATCCTGGCTAAATTAGAGGTGTCTTTGTTAAAACGTCACTTTCGAGTAGATCCTTATCGCGAAATCACGCCCATTGAATAATGCAACTTCCTTGTTTTGTTATTAAATGTTCCGTAGACACGTCTGTAATTGATTGTGAAGTAGTGTACATTTTCTGGTAAAAGTCGAAATACCAGAGGGCTTCTACGTGTAGACAATCGCTGCATCACGGTCTAATTAATTACAACTCAGTCTTTCCCTTTGGTGGGTTTCGACAGCCTTTTTTGGGCCACAATATATTTCAGAGACTCTGCCCCAAGAATCCAAGAAATGTAATCGGTGAGGCAAAAATCAAAGAACGGAAGTCGACGTTATTTTTGCCTAATTGATGATTATCGCTGAGCGTTGACTTATGAAAATAACCTTCATGCCATTAGGAAGATGGCAGCGCGGAGTCTCTAAAATATACTGGCTCTGGAACCTACGACTTTTATGATGAAAAAAAAATCGAAAATTCCCATTAAAAAGTAATTGGAGGGTGTATCATCGTGCGAAATTCGATTCGCATCGTTATCAATCCACACTGACCGAAAATATTCGCAGAATTTGGCAACACTGTGATTCGTCCGTTTACATGCATCAAACATTCGATTTTTATCGAAGCTTTCTTTTAGGATCGATTATTATAATGGATTTAAACGGAGGAAAAACTGGATTGCCAACTTCCGATAATCGCCATCGGTCTGTAACAACTCCGACAACCGCTCTGAAACTGAAATTGGCGTTCCTGAAAAGCAATTCCAAACGCTTTGTATGCATTTGAAAAACTTCAATGGAGCCTAAGCGGTGTTTCCACATCACGCTCCAGTGAGTTCGATACGCCGTTTGCTCACGGCAAAAAATGAATGAAAATGGCGGATTGTAAAATGGATGTCACTATGCAAAACCCGCCTATCTACAAAGAGAGTTTTTTTCTAAAAAAAAAAATAAAATGAAATGAAAAAACGCTTATTACCCAGGGCATTCTTTTGACTATGAGTTGTTTTATAAAACCCTCTTTTTGGATAGATGCGTTCTGCTGGAAAACTGGAGCCGAATCGATGAGATGAGGCGTTTTGATGCGTATTTTGTCTCTCCATTGACATAAAAGCCGTATCTCTATTTTCACGCGAGCCTCAAAACGCATGGAGTTACATTGACAATAGGGCTCATCTTGGAAAGGAGATATGCCTTGACGTCAGAGGACCGACGACTTTGGATCTCGACAAAAATGCAGCGATCCTCATGAAGAATAATTTACATACTTTTCCCTCCCATTGAAATATTGGAGTCTGCTTAAATAGAAAAACTCTCAATAAATTCCAGAGATTTGAATCTATTTGTTATCGTCTGCCCTTGACTGAAGGAGTTTTCGATTAAATAATAGATACTCCGACCCCTAGTGAATTAATTACAAGTTCCGGTAATATTGTAGTCAGATCCATCCCGTATCAAAATTCCCTTCTGATTTATGGTTTTTTGTTTTTGTCATGGGCACGGGAAAAATAAGTTCGGTCGCTTGAAACTAAGACACAAAGTTCCGCTTAAACAGTATTTTTCGGTGCGAAAACCCAAACTATCGGTCTATGAAATCCTATTTTCGATTTATGGGACGTGACTTTCTTTTTATTTCGGTTTCAAGAATTGAAACCCTGGTTTGACGAACTGGATAGTTTTGGTTAATATGTGCAATACAAGGCTTAAAATAGTAGTATGTAGAATGATTTTTCCAGTAAATATTGCACCCAAAATGCGTGTTAGAGTGACTGTCATGTGAATAGAGACAAATAGAGACTCTTTACTAGTACTCCATCAATGCTGAGTAATTTTAAGCATGATAAGCTGATATTAGCATCAATATCGAAGTAATTGGCTAGAGAAATCATAAAACTGTGAATTTTGAATGTCTCGTTCAAGAAATGCCAGTCCCAATTATTTGCGTTTTTCAAGGAGAAATACTACTTTACAACACTTTGCCCATATACGCAGCGTCTATAGTGACATCACGACGAATAGGGTTGAATGAGAATCGATTTTTTTACATACATTCAAATGAGGAAAAAACAGTGTTGTCAACTTTCAAGAATCGCCACTGTGTCTATGGTGCCATTGGTGTCTGGTGCCACACCACGTCTACACGGAGAGAAAAAGTTTAGTTCAGGTTGAACACCGAACTTTTTCGGTTCAGGTATCCGAAGTTCTTGGTCACAAAACCGAGGAGCAGTTTAGGTTATCGAATTCGATTCCTATGACGAAAAACTTCGTTTACCTGGGTCAGAAAAGTTTAGTGTTCAGCATGAGCCGACGTCTAGTCCCTGCTACCGAACTTTCTTTCTTAGTGGTCTGTGAGGTTGTTAACGATAGAAAGCTTCTTTGAGTTTTAACCATCATAACACGATTCTATGCCCATTGCGACCGAGTCGAGGACTTTATACGTGTACCAGCCTTCGAATAGGTTCCACGAGGTGGCAATTTCAACGGGATCTTGTTTGGTTTTCATTGAATAATTTGTTGACCGTTGTGGTGTATTTTAGAAAATGCACGTGTACAAGAAGACGCTGCAGGCGTTGATCTACCCGATCTCCTCGACGACGCCGCACAACTTCGTGCTCTGGACGGCCACCTCTCCGACCTACTGCTACGAGTGCGAGGGGCTCCTCTGGGGCATCGCCCGCCAAGGTGTCCGTTGCACCGAGTGCGGGGTCAAATGTCACGAGAAGTGCAAGGATCTCCTCAACGCCGACTGCCTACAACGTAAGTTCATTTCCTTAATTATGCATATCCATGGCCAAGGTGCAAAAACTCATATCTCCTTTTCCGACATTGCAGACTTCTTGTTATATATACTTTAATTTTTCTTTGGAAAATGGGTCAGTTGTGCTGGTCTTAGAATTGTGTTTTGATGCTTGATTCTTGTAGATCAGCTAAAAATAATAAGACCTATCCGAACAGCAACTTTCACGTTCATTAACACTGGAAAAAAAACCACATTGGATCTAGAGTCCAGACTCTTGAAAACATTGACAAGAAAAAGGACTCTTGATTCAATCAGATTTAAGCTTTAATCAAGAACCAAGCCTCTTAATATGAGCGGATTTCCCTTTGATTTAAGCTTAAATCCGATTGAATCAAGAGTCCTTTTTCTTGTCAATGTTTTCAAGAGTATGGACTCTAGATCCAATGTGTTTTTTTCCAGTGAATTACCAAAATATTGCGCATTGAAAAATTCGATTTATGGCGTCATCCACCGCGGTAGTGACACTCATAGTTTCCTCCACCTTGCTTTCATCAAGCAGTGAGACACATATTTGCACTCATTACTCAACGTGAAACTCGGATGAAAGCGAGGTGGAAGAAACCAAGGGTGTCACTGCTGCAGTTGATGACGTCATAAACCGAATTTTCTAAAGCGCAATATCTCGGTTAATACTGAACGTAGAAAGTTGCTGTACGGACAGATCTTGTTATTTTCAGCTAATCAAGGATCAAGCATCAAAACACGATTCTATGACCAGCGCAACCGACCCATTCCGGTTTAATTAGTCCATTGATGCAGACGAAACCCACACTGGAAAAAAAACACATTGGATCTAGACTCCAGACTCTTAAAAACATTGACAAGAAAAAATACTCTTGATTCAATCGGATTTTCGCTTAAATCAAGAACCAAGCCTCTTAATTTGAGCGGATTTCCTTTTGATTTAAGCAAAAATCTGATCGAATCAAGAGTACTTTTTCTTGTCGATGTTTTCAAGAGTCTGGACTCTAGATCCAATGCGTTTTTTTTTCCAGTGCAGCGTTGCAAACTGGTGTGGATCGCCAGCCGGGGCGTCTCGCTCGTCTCGGCGCCAATGGCAGGTCATGACGGGGAATCTAATCCAATCCGAATCCCAATCCAATCCAACAATTCACAACAGGCGGACAAGTTTGAATGGAGCGTTGAAGTTTTTCCGCTCCCGGTCTTTGGTTTCCTTTCCCCCTTCCCCACCCGTCCGCAGCGGCACCACACTCGGTACGCGCCTTGTTCTCTCCGAAATTAAATCTCGTTGCGCCGTGATTCCGCCCGGGTATGCAACCCGCACAGGGTCGCGAGGGAGCCGGAGCCGCGCCGAGGCAAGAAAAAGGGAGGCCACGATGAATACGCTCCAATTAACTCTCGCCTCTCGGTCTCGGAGCCGCGCTGCCACGTTCGGGACACAAGTCCGCCGTACTAAGGAAAAACGCCGTATGAACCTTCAGGCGTTGCCAAATATCCTTTGGTAAATCGCACACTTTTGGGGAAATTTGTACATATTTTTCCTCCGATTTGTCAGATAACTTCGTTTGCAATTTCAGCTAAAGTTCCTGATAATTTCAATGAAAAATACTCATGACTTTCCTCGAAAATAAATATTTTATCGCAGGAAATTTGGCAACTCTGTGATGTTCATACGGCGTTTTCCCTTAGCACGGCCCAAGTGGGCTGTTTCCTCTTCCAGGAATCGTGGTAATGTCGTTGAAGGGTATTACGCATGAAGGAGTCGAGTGGCATTAGCCGAACGTTCAGTTCAAGTCGTAACACTACACTCGAGCTTATGACACAAACCAACTTTGGATTCGAATATTGCTTGTATCGCTTAACGTGGCTCGATATAGCCAAAAATTAGCTCTAGCCCAAGACGAAAAGACGCAAGAACTGGGCCAAGGGGTTGAGGGGCTTCCGCCCCCTATGATTTTTTTTTTTTACTCCTTCAAAGAGCCCACAAGGGCTAATCTTTCCCTTTAGTCCCATCCCCCTCCGTCCTTAACAACCAGTCCCAGGCAACCATTGTTTGAGACCATCAAACTTGGGTCGCCTGACCGGGAATCGAACCTGGGACCTCCCGATCATAGAGCTATAGAGCCACAACCGCTACACCATAAGAGGCCGACAAATTATAGTCAATGAGTCAAATTAATCAAGGAGTCAATTCGCGTTTCGCAAAAAAAATCCGAAATCCGACGGAAATCCTATCAGACCAGCTCCTTCTTCTGTGGATCAGCACGAGCAACCTGGCATCGATGCCACATATTTCATATCCTTATTCGACGCGCGGTTCTCAATTCCCGGATATACATTAAGAAAAATGTTCAAAAAGTTGGTCAAATTTTCGTGGCGAAAAACTCGCACGATCGTGGGAACGAAAAAATAAATACATCGTCGTTTTTCCGAACGAAGGAGACTTTGCAGGCGTCTGAAATTTGATGAATTTCGTGTTTAAGTGGAAACTACAAGGTGCACTGAACACGAGGATACAATTGGTTCATAAATTGAACAATCCTTGGAGGAGATCCCACAAAATGATCTAATCTGCTTAAATACATGTGTTTCAGTTGAAAATGCCGCCAGGTGACGTCACTATGTGGTGCAGTCTTTCACTTTTAAATCAATTTTTGTACTCTTTCCGAAATCAAAAGAAAATTTTTAAAAGTAGACCCGCGAAATCGGCTCTTTCAGCCCTTTTAGATGAAGCAATAATTTGCGTGCAAATTCTCCATTCTAATCTTAGGTTGCAGAACTGACACAAACAATACGATTTTGTACGAGAGTATGACCGTGCAATGAAGGGAAAGTACGTGATATTTATTTTCCTATTTCGGAACTTGTCTACTCGCCCATTAAATCCTTGGTAAGTCGCCAATCCGACCAACAAGTTGGCACTTCAGCACGACGAACGCGTGCGGCCGGGCCGGAGAGCTCGGAGAATTTAATTTCTCTCGCGAATTTATGAAACTTTTGTCGGTCCAGTTAAATAATTAGCACCGGCTCCCTCTCCAGAATTGCCTTTCCGAGTTAAAATTTCATAGTCGGGTTTTTGCGGGGCGTTTCGGAAAAAAAACTCACCTCTTTAGAGCGGCAACAGGAACGGTCTCCCCGTGTCCTCGCCAGCTCAGCCTTTCTGCGAATTCATCACATGTGACGCCATTGACGCCCGCTCATTTCACATTCATTTGTATAAATATTTTCATCAAGCGTTTAGTTTTTCTTCCATTTTTTGTTACGTTCCCCGCCCTTTCTTTCTCTCTTTTGCAATCCCGTCCATCTCGGATCAGTATTTTCATTCTGGGAATGTATGAAGTCAGTGGCGTGGCGTGAATTGCGATACATCGATTGTTATGCCATTTAAACCTATGGTAACGAATCGATTATTCAGGTGTTCGCTGCGAACACCCTGTTTATCGATCCTTTTCCATCGGTTTAAATGGCATAACAATCGATATATCGCAATTTACGCCACGCCACTGTATGAAGTTGCAGCGAGGAAAGAATCTGCGTTTCAGAAGCCTCGTTTGGACTGCATCTACGAATAGCATACACGTAAAAAGAATCGAGGGCTAATCTACGCGCTAAGGAAAAAAGCCGTATAAGCCCTCCGGTGTTGCCAAACTTCCTTTGACAAAACACAAATTTCCTGGGAAACTTATGAATAATTTCCGTCCAATTTTTCGGATAATTATGTTCGCAATTTTACTTGAAGATTTTGAAAATTTAAAGGACAAATATTCATGACTTTTCTAGAAAATAAACATTTTATCGAAAGAGATTTGGCAACGCTCAAAAGCTCATATGGCGTTTTTCCTTAGCACGGCAGTAATGACAAAAATACCGCCTAGTTGACAATTTTGGCAAAAAAGAGCTAGCAACTTTGCCGAATTCTACAATATGAATCTCGCAAGCGGATGATTTTAGTTGTTTTTCCAATTCTATAGGAGAGCGCTGCATGCGCTGCAATGGTGCTGTAATGTATGAAAAAATTGCAAATCTAACCTTAAATTTAAAAAAAAATGGCGACGTTTTCTCTCCGTCCTGTAAAATCGTTAGGTTGCAGACAGGCGGTATTTTTCATTAGCCATCGGAATATCAAATAGGATGGTGGGAGGGGGGGGGAGAAAATACTTATTTATATGTTGAAAACCTGTCAAAGTTATTTACGTTAGTTGGACGCATTTTGCCATTTTCCGGACAAAATAGTGTACCTGCTTTTACCATCAATATTATACACCTACAAGCAAAATCTTGGAAGCACTATTTCTGACCAACTGCCGGACCGATAAGGATGATCTTTACATTATGTCATCTGTAGTAGATGTAGATATGCAAAAAATTATGAAATCCCGAACTTTTAATGTTGTAGAGCTTTTAAAGCTCATGTCACTTAAGTCCAATGTTAATAGCGTGAGAGATATGTCGTTTCCGCTGGAAACGTCAAGGTGTGGGATTCTACCTGAGTGACTCGAATAAACAATAAAACAATGGAAAAGCTCGTGAAGGGCTCCTCATTCGAAGAGTTGAGGAACGGTGCATCGCTCAGGGTTCAAGGTTCAAGGTCCAAGGTATAAGGTTTAACTCAATGTTTCCTTCGTTCTTCCGGCTTCGATTTACGGCATCGGTCAATTTACTTGACTGCTGAATTTCAAATAATATTTACAGCAGATACAAAGTGAGAAGGCAAGCGCTGCGTCGCGTCGGGTCGGACCAAATATTGTTAACTCTTTTTTTTTTTTTTTTTTTTTAAATNCTAACCTTAAATTTAAAAAAAAATGGCGACGTTTTCTCTCCGTCCTGTAAAATCGTTAGGTTGCAGACAGGCGGTATTTTTCGTTAGCCATCGGAATATCAAATAGGATGGTGGGAGGGGGGGGGGAGAAAATACTTATTTATATGTTGAAAACCTGTCAAAGTTATTTACGTTAGTTGGACGCATTTTGCCGTTTTCCGGACAAAATAGTGTACCTGCTTTTACCATTTTCCTCTATCTTTCAAACATGTGTAATAGTTTGGGACTCCTGATTTATGTCAGATAGGAAAGTGTCTACAAAATGTAGCGGAGGTTAAAAACGACAAGAGAAAAAAGAAAAAAAAGAGGAGGAGGGAAAAGGAGAAAAAGAGGAGCAAAAACCAAGAAAAAGGAGAGCAAAAGAAAACAGGAGACGAAAAAGAAAAGAGGGAAAGGTAGGAATAAATAAAATAAACGGCGGAAGTCCTTTTTTCCTCCTTTCTCCGCTTATTCGTATCGCTCTACTTTTATTTTCCCCCATTCTTTTTCTGCTCAACCTAATCACTCTCTTTTTGTTATTTTATTTCCCCGTTTTCTCCTATTGTTCTCATTACCCCTTTTTTCTTCTTGACTTTATTTATGTCTTTCTTCCTCTTCTCATTTTTCCCCTTTTACCTCATGTTCCTTTTTATTCTTTAGGCGTCGTGTACACTTGCACACAAGTCGAATCTCCATAACTCCAAATACAGCATGACTATTGTTCCTAATGTTCTCCGACTGATATATTTCTTGTTCTATCATTTTTCATGTCCATTCCTCCGTTAAATTAGATCACGGGTAATCGACATGGAGGAAGCTGTAATGGATGATGCTAATTTGTTTGCCTTGTTGCGTTCTTTCCTGTGCAGGGGCCGCGGAGAAGAGCTCGAAGCACGGCGCAGAGGATAAGGCCAACAGCATAATCACCGCCATGAAAGAAAGAATGAAGCAGAGGGAAAGAGATAAGCCGGAAATCTTCGAGCTTATAAGGTAATGAGCTTTTTCGTTTCTATCAATTCTCTCTCTACAGCTATCCATTGTGCTCTGCATCGCTCCTTCGATCAGGCCTCAAACTCTCCTCACATCATAGTTATGCCTCAGTTCACCGAAGAAAGCAACGCTTCAATCGTGAGCTCTCGAGGAGTTTGGTCGCAGAGCAAATGTTTCAAACACTGCGTTCTAGTGGCGCTCCATGCTAGCCAGTGAAGGAAAAACGCCGTGTGAACTTTTAGTGGTTGTCAGATACTCCTCTTTTTTTATTCTTGACATAATTTACCAATATTTTTCTAGACTTTTTGAGCTACGATAGCTTGAATAGCTCTTAAAATGTCAAGAAAAACAATTCACAAGTTTTTTTTGTGCAAAATTTGCATCTTTTTCCTGGTGAAAATTGGCAGTAGAATCTGTGTTCCAAAATACCATAGACCTACAGCCGGCTGTTTGATTTCCAATAGCTTCTATAGCCGGCAACACAATTTCCTATAGCCTTTTATAGCCGATGGCGATTAAGCAACAGCCTGGCGATAAAGTGTCTGCTAAACGTTACTAATTACGGATGCTAGAACTTAGTGAGTTTTTGGACTACCGCTCTCTTTTTGGGCCGTGGTATCTTGATTTATTTTGCGAGGAAAGCTCCGTACTTTTGAAGGATGCCTGCTATTCCTACTATGTTGGAGCGCCTTCAATTTCGTATGATACTGAGCAATACCTTTGGTGTGAAATAGTTGCTTCAAGAGCCGTGGTACGCTGCGGCGCGGCGCGGCGGGCGGGCAGCCAGCTTGAAACGCGCATTGGCGCCTACAAACCTAACAGGGATACTTCACGCATTGCGCAATGCGTGAAGTATCCCTGTTAGGTTTGTAGGCGCCAGTGCGCCGCCGCTCCGCTTTGTGTTAGGCTCTAATATTTAATCTCGCGGAGTCAGCGTTTTTCAACTCATGCCTTTGAAATGTTTGCACACTCTGCATGGATTATTCTCATTTTAATTGATGAAAAAAAATATGTAGTAAAGGAGAATATAATGTGCGTTTTGTAAATATTAAGGTGATTCCGTAAAAACTTAAGGATTTACGAAGCACAAGAATTTTTACACAATTTCTTATAGCCTTTTATAGCCGATGGCGAAAAAGCAACAGCCAGGCAATAAAGTGTAAAGCCCGGCGATAGGAACTATAGCCCGGCTGTATAATTTTTTATCCACAGAAAAAAATGGATGGTGCTGACGACAGAACCTTCTGTTCACAGGGCTCCTGCGGTTTCTTTGTTACACTTACAGATTGTTTCTGTTGTGAGAACAGAACTTCGGACGTGGGAACAGAGTACTCTGTCCTCATAACAGAAGCTTCTGTGACTGTTACAAAAGAAGTGCAGGAGCCCTGTGAACAGAACTATTGTTTTCAGTGTCGCTTTGTGTAGCCCGGCCGTATGATTTTTTCCACTTTCTAAAGCCACCTATATGATTTTCTATCGCCCTCTTCAGTCGGCTATAAGAACTCCTATGGTATTTTGAAACGCAGCTCCTATCGCCAATTTTTACCAGGGTTCGGAGGAAATTTGGCAAGGTTCGGATTTTCAGACGGCGTTTTTCTCTTGGCATGGCAATGTATATTATGGGGTTTTTCCCGAAAATCACTACCTACCGGATTTTTCTCATGATGATTGAAAAAAGGTTTCCGGAATATTTTGACTTCTTTAGCAAAATTTTGGGACATAAATCGATCCGTTGTATTGATTTACAGAGCTGGCTCCAATGCAATAATTATCAATTTCGTGCCACTGTCTGGAAGTCGCACGGTGGGCCAGATCGTGTCCGTAGCGGCGCTTAATTGATAACTCCCGCTAGATCAGGCATATCGTTCAAAACATGATGATTCCTAGGGTAATTTGATCTGTTCTTTTCAAATTTTGTGTCAAAAAAACCGGCAAAAATGTCTAAATGTAGGTTTTGGACGTCGAAAGCTGAAGAAATTGCTCGATAAAAAAGAGGATCTTGTGCTTTTATAAAACGGGGGAAAAACACAATCATCGAACCGAAAAATGCAATCTTATCATCTGACCTTGTAATTCTATTGGAAGGAGAATATTTTCGCTTTTGCAGATCCGAAAAATATTGATTTTTAGCTGCAGGGCATGAGATCAAAGTTGCTCGAAAAATAAGCCTTAAAAAATGAATTTTTCAGAATATTGTGGACTGGGAAAGTGTCATTGCGGTTCGTTGCGCGGTTCTCTCTGGTATTTTTAGAATGCATATATCCTAGAGATACCATATACCAAAGCACAAACGGTACAAACCGGTACAACCATATTTTT